GACTTGCCTTATTTCGTAAGGGATGATCACGAAATAGTTTTGATTGCGGATAACACTTCACTTTTGTTTAAAATTAAAAGAGGGCTACCTCTTAATAACGATGTGAACAATTCTGTCGCTAAAATAGTACATTGGTTGAATGTAAATAATCTTCCCCTTAATGAAGGAAAAACAAAATGCCTAAAATTTTTACTACCTAATGTTAAAAAAGTAGATATAAATGTTAATATAAAAGATAAGAACATGGGCCTTGTGGATACCACAGTATTTTTGGGAATAACTTTAGATTCTAAACTACAGTGAGGCCCACTTATTGATAAATTCTCGAGTAGACTTAGCTCTGCAGCATATGTAGGTTAACTGACATAGACACTTCCAGATTAGTATATTTCAGTTACTTTCATAGTGTGATGTCGTACGGAATCATATTGTGGGGAAATGCTGCCGACATACAAACGATTTTTGTACTTGAGAAAAGAGCAATTAGATCAATTTATAATCTTAGGATTAGGGACTCTTTGAGGGAGAAATTTAAGGAAATAGGCATAATGACTGTTGCTTCTCAATACATATCATCATCAGCCCTTTTACGTCCCCACTGCAGGGGCTCAGGCCTTCCTTATGGATGGCTAAGGAGTATGGGCCATGACCCTCCACGCTGGCCCAATGCGGATTGGAGAGTATTGACGACTGCAAATTCAGCCGGGACCAACGGCTTAACGTGCCTTCCGAAGCACGGAGTAGCTCGAGATAATAATTTTTTGGTCACCCATCCCGTGACCGACCCTTGCGAAAGTTGCTTAATGACAACGATCGCGGGCCGCGGCGCTTATCCACTACGCCACCGAGCTACTCAATACATATACGAAAACTTAATGTACATTTGTAAAAATATTAGTTTGTTTACTATAAAAAGTGATGTACACAATATTAATACAAGAAATAAAAATAAATTAACGGTGCCTGTCACTAGACTATAAAAAGTTAATTAGTCATTCAGGGGTCTTTATGTGCGCTTCTACAATAAGGTCCCAAACAAAATACAACAATTAGATATCATGCAGTTTAAATCTACTATTAAAAAATACTTATTAAAAAAGCTTACTATAAGGTATCCGATTATATAACAGATAAGAATGCTTGGACTTGAGACGATCCAGCAACTGGATAGGTGATTACTTCTTAACTCATATATCAAAAATTATCTTACTTCCATTATTATTAAATGATTATGTTATCATTATAAGACCATAGTTTCTTTTTTTTTTCTCTCTTTATTTATAATATATTGATCTGGTAACATGTCATTACTCCTATTAGAGCTGGTGAGTTTCTTGCTCTTTCTTCTTATCAGCCAAAAGACGTCCTGAACGAGCGGTAGGGAAAAAAATGTTGGACGATTCAAAAGTACTTTTAAGAAGTCTATTTGAATATATAAAAAAAAATGCGATTAATGGAATTGTTAATCGGCACATGTTTTGGGGACATGTTCAACAATCGTTGTCATGATTTGTGTGTGTCGTTACACAAAACCTTAAGAGGGCACAAACGAAACAAAAGGCAAACACTTTCAATTGATTTCGTAAAATAATTTCGGTATATATTTTTTCTTTACATTCAAATTTAAAATATTCATATTGTTTCAAAATGAGAAAAATACATTAGTATTTTAAAGATTTATGTTATCGCAGTGCCTAAATGCGAATTTATAAAAAAAACCCATAGAAGAAAATCACAAAGTAAAATTTATTGTTATATATATATTTTTGGTTATTTTGATTTTGTTATAGAGAAAATTGGTCACTTTGTAGCTGAAGGAATGATTCAGCACCTTTACAATAACTTAATATTTTGAGAGTAATTAATTGGAAACTGTTTATGACGCACAATGCGCTATCCCCGAGAGCAATAAGTTAGACATGGACACTTGGCAGGCAGTTTTTTGCCTTTACGGCCCTCTCAAGCTTGCAAATCGTACTCACGCACCTTATTTCGATGCGATTTTCACTGTTATACAGTATTTCTCAATGAATGTTTATCGTCCGTGCGAATGTTGTCCGGGTCGCTAGCGTCTCTATGAATAAATAAATCTACTTGTTATCTCTACAAATGTAACTCGTAGTGTTGGGGTTCCATGAAAATATTAGCCATCTATAAATACACGTAGCTCGGTGGCGTAGTGGTTTAGCACCGCGGCCCGTGATCGTAGTCGTTAAGCAACTTTCGCAAGGGTCGGTCACGGGATGGGTGACCAAAAAATTATTATCTCGAGCTACTCCGTGCTTCGGAAGGCACGTTAAGCCGTTGGTCCCGGCTGCATTTGCAGTCGTTAATATCCTCCAATCCGCATTGGGCCAGCGTGGAGGGTCATGGCCCATCCTCCTTAACCATCAATAAGGAAGGCCTGAGCCCCTGCAGTTGGGACGTAAAAGGGCTGATGATGATGATAAATACACATAATTAAAGTAAAATTGATTTTGTTAATAAAAATATTTGGTTTTCTGAAAGGGTTCAATCGTCAAAAAAAATTGCTACATAAAAATTAAACATACTTATAATATCTGTTTCATTTATTATACGCACGCAATGTTTAATTTGCTTAAGCAATATCTAATAACGAATGTCAATTATTTGCATTTATCTGAATCTCCTATGCAATACAAACATTCCAATAGTAGTCCAATAATATCGATAATTATTTATTTTGATAACCTTCTCGAGTTATTTAATTACAATGCCGCCAAGTGGTCGGTCTACAGATGTGTGTATGCACGTACATGACATGACACAAAGCATGCTTTAAACATTAGCGCGCTCCAGTTGTGTAAGGTTTCTTCAATCGTTGTCACTAACCCAATATTACTACAGGCTCTAGTGTTTATTTACACAAACGGGTTAGTTAGTATTTAAAAGAGTAACGGTATTCATTTATTTTTGTTTAGTGATGTGGAATAGTCGCTTTTTAAATCTAGCCCTTTTTTATATATATTAAGAATTTTAATGACATTATTTTATTCGGAACCGGATAGAGTAAGTATGCTTTAGTTTAATTTAAATTTTTCCATTATTTTATGTTGGCACGCCGTGGAAGCGCTCTTTATGTCAAGGGTTTTGAGAGGAATTGTTTCTAGCGAAAAGGGCGTATGTAGCTATGGAATAAAGTAACTTTCAACAGTTTTTGTGGCGTATCTACAATATATCTAAAATGCAAAATTTGCGACTATGAAATCATAAACAAATTATTTAATTTGTTGGTTTGATTTAATTGACATCTAGTTACAAGATACTCTCTCTATATTATAATAATTTTCGGTCAGTCTAATCAAAATTATTATTAGAAAATATGGTCACGTTACTTTCACTGATTGAATTAATAAGTCTTCCGATTTCAGTAATGAGTAATGAATTTACTTTCACTTGTCACCTCACAACATAATCGCTTGGACCAAAAAAAAAAAGGAATATATCGAGACACCGATCGCACGCCGCCGCCGATACGCTCACTTTCAGCTCAGACAATGTCTCGATTGTTTTGATATTTTTCTCACAGTGCAACATGAACTAGTTCCGAAATTGGACCGGTCGCACGTACACGCATATAGTATTGATATCCAGTTCCTATTAGTTTGATCCGTTCGCCTTTTTCACTTTAGTGACCGTTTTGTTTTTATTAGTGATGGGGTTCTGAATTTTTGCTGTATTATTCGATATAATATCACGTAAGAATGTAAATTGGCTATTACTTGAAAGCTTATATTCACAAGAAAATTGATGCCACTATTTCAATGCAATAGGCACCTAAATGCAACTAAACAATTATGAATTCCGAAATTTATTTAAAACTCTATTTGAAATCATACTTTGTTAATAGAATGTTAAAAAGTTTAAATTCAGAATTCCAAAGTAGTTTTCTGTTGCTACACATCCCCTGTCTTTAGGCGGAGGCGGAGGAAGAGCGAGCGTCCGCACTCCGAAGTCAGGTGGAGTCGCGGAAAGGAGCCCTAGAGGAATATGTACGGAAAACTATCAACGAGCTCGGGGAGAAAGGGATAGAGGTAAGATATATAAACTGGTGGAAGAGGACAACACTAACGGAATAATCACAACAGCTATTCTCGGGTTTAAACTAAATAAAGTAAACGTTTTTCTACTGAAATATAACTATGCTGACTAACATTATGCATGTATAAGACATTAGCAACCTTTTAGAAAAGCTTTAATTATGTTTTAGGGAAATTGAGAATTTTGCATGTGGTTAATCTTTTTTTTTTTTGTATCTATAGAGTTGTATATCTTTTTAGTAATGATAATGCGCATACCCAATCATATGTAAATTTATAATTAAAGCATGTTAACTTTGTGTGTTGTCGCTTTGTTAACAATATCATATGAATTTATTGTTTTTTTTTTTCATAATATGTAATATAGTGATTCATCTTTTGTGACATATAAGTCTTTGCTTGATATGTGGCCAATGAACTTAAAAAAGCAGCTCATGTATTAACATTATTTAAATTAGTTAACGTTTGAATATTTCAGTGATAAGTGTTTCTGTATCAAACAATGTTAGTTTATGTATGTAACATAGAAAAACCAACGTAGCACATGGAGAGCGACGAGGTTATGTAAGAATCTCCTTTGTGTGCTCATACGATGACCATACTCCGGACCCGGAACAACGAACTACCCCACGGAGTGCCATTTGCTTTTGACACTTGGGAGGCATACTATACCCTTAATATGGATATTAAACAATATAAATACAAAAAAAAAAAAAAAACAGATGATATTTATCTATCTACACCATCAAAATCACTTTAACCCTCGGCAATAAAGAAGAGTTAATATGTCGTTATTGATCCAACTGTGAGTTGAAACTGGGGCCAAATAAAATATTGAAACTGACTTACGAGCTATTCTAGTACAGTCCACTAAACGTCCATTAATTCAGTCGTTATTTTCAACCACTGTGGTAAGACAAGATAATGATGTACCTTTTATAAGGTGACATGTGTTTGCAGAGCTCCAGCCCGGATAGCGACACGAGTGCGGAGTGCCTGCTTCAACTGCTGCAGCAGTGCGAGCCTGCCACAGCGCACGCCATACGGGATACCGTCGAGAGACACGTGAGTGACGATGCTGTTACTTTAAAGTCGACATGCATAGACCCGTGATTAAACATTTTTTTTCTTTTTTTTTTCATTATAAATCTTGAAATAATAACTTGATATTTTTAGATTTAGATTAGATATTATAGAGCATAAGATGTTTTTCACTGTTTCCTAACTTTTTTTCAACTATCATTACCACATTCCATTCTTTTTTTGGAGTTAGTTAATTATGACGTAATGCGTTATATAGAAAAGGGAGGTGTCAGAGCTCGAGCAGGAGTTGCAGTGTCGCGTATCGATGGTGGCGACGCACCGCGGCAAGGTGGAGAGACTGCAGGCCGAGCTCGCCCTCCTACATACACAGCAGCTGGGGCTCAGGCATGCCCTCGCTGCTGACCTTACCACAAGGCCAGGTACTACATCTACTGCTTGATTATAATACAACATTGTCGTTTCGCCCTAATAGTATACCGAATACGTATACTGAAATACGCTTTCAAGCTAAGCGCAATCAAACTTGAAAATATTCTGGCACATTTTGTCACGAGCTCTCCGTTTGTTAGGTTACTTTACAATACAATGTAAAGTTATTGTCAGTTATCGATTTTCTCTTGTGCAGAGGGTGGTGAGTTGTCACCTATAGAGGGGGTGAAGCGATCCAAGTCTGAACTGGTGCTGCGTAGGGCTCCCCGCGAGGAGACCCTCGATCCACTGTCTGCTGACGAACGGGAAGATTTCTGCGCCAAGAAGATGAGGTAACCTTGCGATTATGTTTTCTTATATAACTCATAGCAGTCGTTAATGTCACACAAAATATGTTTGTATTAGTATAATAGTTTAAGTATAAGTTTAATAATTTTTTTTTATGATTAGTAAGGATTTTTTTTCAATATGTATTCTCCATTGAAAAAAAAATTTTAACAGTCGTTTCTCGGTCTGTCATTCATTTACCCACCAATACTGTAAGCATTTAAACTTTTATAAATGCTTATTTTGCTTGAACATAATCTTAAAAAATGTCTCTAGTCTTAAATAATGTTCGTTCGTTCGGTCTGTAGCCTGAGCCTGAGTTTGGACCCACTCGCGTCTCCGAACACAGCTATAAACACGGAGGAGTTCCACACGGCGTCGTGCAGCTCCCCCAAGCCATTCCCCCCCTCCCCCGACAGCTCCCCCACGCCAGCGCCACCCCCCCACTTCCGTCTGGGCCCTGGCGACGCTGATGACAGCGATATATCCAGCGCCGATGACTGCAGACAGGTATTGTAAACGCAATTCCTTTATTTTTTTATTTCGTACAACAAACTTTACCGTAGCAAATTTGGAAAATGATCGGGAAGTTTTCCTACTTTGTGTGTATATGGTAATAATTATGTATCGTGAGACATGTTAGGTAACCTAATATGTATTATCGTGTGTACCAGGCGAGGGTGGTGGAAGGTCAGTCGTCGAGTTCTGTGGAGCGATCCCCGGACGAGAGGCATCAACGCGCCAAGTACAGGCGAAAAATAACAAGTGAGTCGTTGGTGACGAAAGTACATAAAGACACATTTTACTGTTCACTATTGACATATTTAATATCACCTTGTCAATTCCAATAGTTTTCCAAGTATGATTTAATCTCTAGATCGATTTTAGCTCTATCAAAGTGATAGTGACAGCTACCTGACCGTTTCTTTTTTCTTCTTTTATCCCCCAGGCTTTTATTATGTCTTTTGTTTCTTTTCTTATGTTTTTATTTTCTTTTTCTACTGGCAGGTGTCAATTTTGACACCCTGTCTGTATTTTTCTTTTACCCTTGTCATTACTTATTTTTTATATCTTATAGTATATTTATATCTATTAAATTCTTCTCTTTCTTATAATTACAATTTTACAATTAGTTTTCTATAATTTACATTTCATTACCTTACTTAAATGGAGTTACAGATTGGGATCTCACCACAAGGTCGAACACCTCTTAATTTCTTTACTATTTGGCCCCCGGGTCGTTGTGCTCTGTCACCTGTATAGTTTGCAGGACCCCAGGGCCAATACGCCTAACCCAACTAGTACATACTTACGGGCCAATACGCCTTACCCAACTAGTACTAGTACGTACATACTACCTGACTGTTAGGAATGACGCGGGCAGAGGCTACGCATGAGATTCATCATTGATTTATCGAATGAATTATTAAATTTTCGTTTTGTAATTGTACGACATATATATGATTGTCCGCATGATCTGGCGCTGTAGTGTAGTGCAGTGTAGTGTAGTGTAGTGTACAGTGTGTGTCGTATCGTGCAGCGGAGGCGAAGGCGGGCCGCCGCCAGGTGACGGAGGCGGAGGCGTTGCGCGCCATGCAGCGGCTGTGCTCGCGCATCGCCGCGCAGAAGATGCTCGTCATATCATCGCTGGAGAACGACTGCTCCAAGGAAGAGCTCAACAGGCAGATCGCGGTATGACGTCATGCCACAATCACTCACACATCGCTGCATCGCGTTATCGGAGGTGCGATCTGTTGGCTGGACTTAATGTTATTATTAATAATTATTATCCTAAAAAACATCCAGCTACCAAATTGCATCTCCGGTAATGGCCTCTACTCGTCCCTACACTAACACCGTTACTGCAAGTCCTGTAAATTGCTAATTCCATGGAACCTTGTCTATAACACCCGCGTTGCGTCATATGAAAATAAAAAGTATAGATAGCACAAAAGGCAAGACATTAATTAATTATTAAAATATTTATGTATAATCACCAAAATATACTGATAATAATTTAAAAACTTATTTTTATAATTCATTCCATGAATTTTTGGAAAAGAAAAAATATGGAAAAAATGTTGTCCACTTTGTAAGAAAGCGATAACAAACGGAGAGGACATTTTTAAATGTAACCAAAATTAACAATGAAATGAGAGACATTAGATATATTTATAATTAGTAAAATTATGTTTATTTAACGTTAAAATAATAATAGCAAGTAACAGAAAAACTTAACAATACTAATCGAAACCAACAAAAACATAACAAAATTGATGTGTGATCTCAACACAACACAACTCAATAAGTGCACTCTACAACCAGCGTTTATTTGTTAACGGTACTGATTTTTGAACGCAATCACGTCTTTAAAATGTCGGCCAGGCGCATTAGCAATTTGCGGGGACTATACACCAACGCATTCGCAACTGCGAATGCGATCAGGGTTGTCACCTTTTGAGAAACAAAATTCGTGACGTTCAGTTAGTAATCCGAAATAGGGACGGGTGGCAAGCGAAACCGTAATGACGAGGACGCAGCTATATTAATGGCCTAATAAAAGAGCAAGACAAAGCACATGTGAAACATTGCCGTTTCTCAATATTTCGCATTCTCATGCAATTGCGTCGATGTATTAATATGTACCTGCGCAGATTCTAGCATAATTCGGGCGATCTCCCGATATCCACGCGTTTGTCTCCCGCCGAGTGTGAGTGAGACGGACAACTTATGTGTTGTATTTTAAACGTTACGATTATTGAAATAATATTCACTATCAAATTTTAATAGTACGTTCGGTCATAGATGGTATAGGTAGATCTGCTCTGCTCAAAAGAAGATTCATCATGCGCCAGTTGGTTGGAATTTACCCTTATCCTAAAATGCTGGATTTTATTTGTCACAGAATGGTGATATTTTAATAGGATCCTTAAAAATTCAATATGCTCTACTCACAACTATATTTTCCAAGAATTCATATGTATATTTTAATGATTTTAGTGTCACATATAATTTTTACTTTATTACAATAATTAAAGTGAAAATTATATGTGACACTAAAATGTAAGTTAATCACATGAGTGATATATGTCTAAATCAGCCCAATCTTTCAGGTGCTCCAAGAGCTCCAGAAGAAATACGTCCGTTTGGAGATGGCGTTGCAGTATTCGTTCTTCGATAACCAGCCGAGCCGCCGCCCCGTGATGGTGACCCCCATACAGGAGACCCCCTCCCTCACGCTCTCCGAGAGCGACATGCATCTGGCCACAGAGGACAACAAGCACGCCTCCGACAGGTACTGTACACACACATGTCTTTATCTGTCAATAGAGTTTTGTCTCTATATAACGTTGATTAAAATTTGATATTCGTATAAAATATCTGCAGTTTACCACTAATTCATGAATGTTTACAGCCACACGGACCAATCACCGACGGACAATGACAGACGAGTGGATCCTACTGAAAATGGACACATATATGATCCGCTCTTGCATAGGTATTACCACTATTTATCATATTAAAAAAAAAAATATGCTGACCTATTAGTTTATAAACATTCGCTTCGTGAATCGGTTGGGATATAATGGATGTAAACTTATATGATTTAATTTAACCATGGATATACATAGGGTATGTTCCGATATACACTGCGACCACTGAACAGTATGACGTCAATTTAGTATACTGGAAGCCCGTTCCTTTATAGCTAGTTATACTGGTGACTTTTTAAAACGGAACGCAGTCCAGTATACTGTTAATCCTATTTTTTGGCGCCATTTTCAAATTTGTTAATGCAAGGTGAATATAAATAAAGATTCCCTCTTTTCAAAAGAAAATATTATAAAATTGTGTATAAAAAAATTATTTATCAATTAAATCCATCTTATAATAAACATAAGTATTTTTTTTTTGTTTATTTAGAAACTTATCATTTTCTGATTCTGTTTCGACTGATCACGTGATCAAAAGCACTGCGAGCACCTTACCTCGAAATCTCCAGTGCTCACAGTACAAATATGGCGGCAATTTATGACGTCATAAATTTCCCTAGGGTACTGTAGCAGTGTACTGGCAGTCCATAACGGAACGGATTTTTCAGCAGTAAGACCACTGCGCAGTGCTCGCAGTGTATATCGGAACATACCCATAGTCTTGCCTTAAATATTGTTGCATACACTTTTTTCTTATTGAATGTAACATTTATTACTATAACAGTGGGTTAGTTTAATATGTTATATAGTACAATGTGCAACTCCTATTGGAGCAGGTTGAAAGAGCAGGACATGGAGGGATCAGACAACGTGTCCACTTCCAACGACGAGTTGGCCGCGGACAGGGACGAGCCGTGGCATCCGCTCCGCGACGGGGCCGAGCCCGCGCGCGACCACCGCCCCCCACGGGCCACACTGCCGGTCTGTATTACTATAAAGTTCACAGTTCATTTATAGCAATGTGCCGTTGATTATTTTATAATAATTTTAATTATTGTTCCAGGATCCTACGGTAGTGCCGAGCTTAGTGCATCCTATAGATTTCAGTAAGTTATTAGTTTTAAATAAACTAAATTCATTTAGTATGTACACTTTATTATTAATTAAGGCCTAACATATAATAATAAATTTAATGTAGCAAAATATAGAAGAATTATGCCTGTAAAATATACCTATATGTAACATTTAGGTATGAATACTTTCGATACAATGCAACGTTTATATGTTAACTCGTTTTGATAGCCTGACGACAAAAAATACGAATCGGAAATTATTAGAAAAAGAAAACTATAACTTTTCATAATATATATGATACATATTATTAATTTTTTTGATTTCAAAATATATAAATTGGATCGCAGGCGAAGTGATAAGCATTCCGGGCTGGGTGACGCGGGGCGCGGGGGCGGGCACCCACCACGAGTACGAGGTCCGCGTCACGCTGCCCGACTGCCGCTACCTGCTGCTGCGGCGGTACCGCCGCTTCCGGGACCTCTACCTCGCCATGCGGCGGCTGTACGGGCCCGAGGTATGCCGCTCGTCCTGACCACTCATTCGTCACTAGAGCAATGAATTATATTCTATAGTGGAAACGTTATATAATAGGTTACGATCCATTTCTTTTTGCATTATTGATTTTGATAATTTGTGTCGTAATATACCTAGTGTATTATTGTATAATCCTCGCAAATTACGCATAACGCCTGGACGCCATTTTGGTGACGTAAGTG